AAACTGTCGGATGTGATGCACGGTCACGGGTCACGTGAATTTCAGCATCATCCGATTTCACGATCATCCGCGACAATTAATATAAAAAGTAAAAATAATTTTAAAATATAATTTTCTCTCTCTACAGTAGTACAGTAATATAGTTTTTACTTACCGTGAAAAAATAATAATAATTTATGAAAGAAGAAAATGTGATATTTTTTCCACGTGAATGGATGCCCTCAGGCACTTAAGTGTGATATTTAAATTAATAATACATCGTAGCAAAGTTATTTGTAATTTTAATGCTTTTAGTTTGTCGAATTCAAAAAAAATAGATATTGGTAACTGCACAAAAACTTCAAAGTAAATGGAAAATTGGAAACTTTATCATACCATTTATATACATTGATATAAAAGCTATCTTTGAATATGAAATTATTAATTATTAATTAAATCATTTAGAAAACGTAATTTAGCCTCATAGTCAGTCAATGATTCAAATCATATAAGGTGTATGAAATCACCTATTATAGTAACCAGCCCGATGGATGTCTGTGTTAATATTCCATAAAGCCATTATCTCTCATTATTAGAATAATTAACTGTAAATCCCTTTTTTAAAAAAAAACTCAAGAGGACGCCATATAGACATTATTATTGTTTTTGCATTTGATATATTTGTTGGAGCAGGATCTTATTATTACAAATCCCAGGATTGTCTCTCCGCTAAATTTATTTTAAGAGTCGCAGATTGGCATTTTGGAGGATTGTTGTAACGTTATAACACGATAATTTTATGTATTTTAAGAGAAGGTCTACCATGATCCCGATGCTATGTTAGAGGTCAGACTGTATATGATTTACGATGGTTATATATTGCATCAGTTATTGCATCACATGAAGGACCGACGAAACATCTGTGGTTACTGTTATAATATAAAGAGTAATCATTTTTCTAAAGCTTTTTGTGAACTCCAAAATTCTTATGGATTTTATGAATTTGATTTATCGTGTCACAAATTACGATAATTTATTCTTTCACAAAATAATAATAATAATTACTAATGTAATAATAAACTTGTGCCTATCTAATAAAAAATGATGTAATTCTTTTTTGAAAAAATTGTACTACATACATAAACTTCACGTATTAAACCGGTAAATCTAATCTTTTTTTTTTTTATAATCTAAGACGAATGATAAAAGAAAAAATGTCATCAACTAATATTAATATAATTGACTCAAGTATAGCGGCAATAGTCGCACGATTAACTACTCACCCTCGTAAGTTTTCAAACTACAAATGTTAAATATTTTTATTAAATTTTACTAATATCATCTATTTTTTGAAAAAAAAAAAAGTTGACACGATTCGTGTGCTTGCTCAAACTACTTTGTCAACACCATCCTATTCTTACCCTCATTTAACTTCAAATGCTAAATTTTCACCTAATGGAGTCAAACATATTTATTACTTTTTCAAGTCTACCATTCAAAAAAATCCAGTCATTCAAGTAATAAGCAGAACTCCTGTCAAAAATTTATATAATGGTCTCCCAGTTGCTACTATTCTTGGTATCCCTGCATCATCATCTTTTCTCTTCGTTTATGATATATCAAAGTACCATCTATCTTCTAATTTTAACATAAAAGATGATAGAATGTTAAATCACGTTTTAAGTGGTACATTTGCAGAAATAATAAGTGGAATATTATGGACACCTATGGAAGTTATTAAAAGTAAACTTCAAGCTAATGATGCAACTTTTCAATCTCGTGAAATTATTAGTAAAAGGATTATAAGTTCGTATATAGGTAGTAAAAATGGTAATCTTAATACTTTTGAAATTTCAAAAAATATTTTTAAAGAGGAAGGTTTACGAGGTTTTTATAGAGGATATTTTATTACATTGGCAGTGTTCATTCCTCATGTAATTACTTATTTTGTAATTTACGAAAAATGTAAAGCTTGGGGTCGTGCTAAATATTTAAAGAAAAATGAATTATCAAATTCGATTGATTTACCATTTTCAAGTTACCTACTCTATTCAGGTTTCTCATGTGCGGTAGCTGCTTCAGTATCAAATATTTTAGATATTGTTAAAACTAGAACTCAAGTTTCTTCAAATGAATCTATCACTATTGATAATACTGGTAAATTACATTCTATAAAAAACATTCCAAGGGAAATTATTAAAAATATGTATAAATATGAAGGTGGTCTAAGAGCATTTGCAAAAGGAATGAGTTCTAGAATTTTGTGGGCAGTTCCTTTCTCTTCTATTAGTATGGCTGTATTTGAAATTTTAAAAAATAGAAGAAATAAAATGAATTTAGAGAAGGTATAAATAATAATAATAATAATAATAATAATTAATTAATTAATTAATTAATTAATAATAATAATTAAAAATACTGTAATAATAATAAATAAGTAAATAAATAATAATAATAATACTGTAATATATATATATAGTATATATTATTGGAGCTAAATTGGACTTTATCTCGAAATAAAGCCCATGGGCGTATTCGAAATACACTGACTCTCATTATTATTGTTCCACTTGAAAAATAAAATTTGAATTACAATATTTCGAGATCTGATCTTTGAA